TACTGAAAATTAATATAAATTTAGAATAATTGCAATAAAATGAACATTAAATATAATGCAATCTTAAATAAATATAAATAAATCAAGAATCTAAATGCATAATTGTTATTAGAGATTGCAGAATTAAAAAAAAAAGATACTTTATTTCTTGAAAGACCTTAATAGAAAGATAATAAAAAGATTGAAGAACAATTATAATTGGGTTATGATTAAGCAATGGTTGATTTAAGAAATGAAAGATAAAAGAATAAATATTTAGAAAATCAAATGCAAAAACTCTAAGGAGATCATTAAGAATAAATAGATAATTTAGATAAAAAGATTGCTGAATAAAAGAGATAATTTGAAACATTATAAAGAGAATATGAATTAGAAAAATAATAAAAATATTAATCTAAAAGAACTATTCTTATAAAAAATAATGGTCCTTAACCACCTGAAGAATAAGGTTAATTATAAGAAGATATTGAACTTTAAAAAAAGAAATTTATAAATGTTGATAAAAATGATATTTTAGCCATAGCTAGATAAGTCAAATTAAATTTAATTGGATTGAAAATAACATTGTAATAAGTAGAATCTTATTTATTAACAGATGAAATATTAACTTAATAATAATTGAAATAAAATCTATCAAATAGAATCTTTGGTTTATAAACAATTGAATAAGTTGAAATGGCTGCTATTTATTTAGCAGATGTTGAAAATGAAACTGAAACAACTACTAGTGCTAGAGTGAGAAGTATTTTTAGAACTTTGATGGAAAACTATTAAATTTTAAATATAGATTAATTGAATAATATCAATTAATAGATAATGAAAAAGAAGAATGAAATATCAGACATTTTAATTAGAAAATATCCAGATACTTATACAAGTGGATATATTACAATTGATGTAAATATATTAAATAAAATTAGTCTTATTTGGAAGTACTTTTTTAAGTGGAAATTTAATTAAGTAAAATAGAAATTGATCATTTTTATGCTTTAATTTAAAGATCAAATAGATCACCAAGAATATTTTTGTAATAAATATTTTCACCTTTTGATGTAAATTAAGAGGAAGATGATCTAGATGATTAATAATAGAATATAAATTTAGGAGATGGTTAACCTGAAAGTGTAAAAATGTCAAATAGTGAAATAATTATTATAAATAATCGTAAAGAATCTGAATTTGTTAATTTAATTGAGGATGATATAGATCATAATTAGAGATCAAATTAGAAAAAGATAGAAATTAATATAGAGAAATTGGATGAATAAAATGAAGATGAAATAAAGCAATCACAATAATTGAATTTGGAATTATCAGAAGAAGAAAAGAATCCATTCTAAGACGTATAACATGAAGAATCAGATATGAAAATGATTGATTCGTAAGAATTAAGAAAATAAAGTTAACCTGAATTATAATAATTTTGAATTTAAATAATGGATAACCGATTAGAGAGAAATGTCAATAAACTCATGGATCGTTATAAAAAAACTAGTCAGTAGATCGATTAGATCATGTAATATGAACCAACTCCTCAATAACCTGTCACATATTTTATAGGTAGATCAAGACCAAGCAAAATCAATGATGATGAGTAATTCATATTTATTTATAATTTCAGTGATGATTCTTCAAGAGAAAGACGTAGATAAAGTGGCTCATTAGAGTAAATTAGTAGATTGAGGGAAACCTTAAATGCTAGGGATATGTAAGAAAGAGAAAAATATGAAAGAATAAGAATCTTAAATAAGGAATTAAAAGTACTTTTCTTTATAATATCCTTTAGATTACACTTAAGGAATATATGACAGTTAATAAAGAATTGGAAGGAAAGTTATCATCAAAGGATAAATAAATTAGAGCATTAGAATAAGAAAATAAATAATTATTAGATTCATTAAACAAAGGAGATTTAAATACAAAAGAAGTTAAAATAAAAGCAGAGACTTCAGAAAAATTAATTGAAGAATTACAATAGCAAAATCATATATTAAAATAAAAATTAGGTGATAAAAAATAAAAATTAACTGCTTTAAGAGATTAGTTAAAATAAGCAGAGACAGTTTATGAAGAACAAGGATAAAATTTTGGTAGAGAACTTGAAAGAGTATAAAAATTATGTGAGGATTTTTCTAATGAAATGTAATCATACATAATTTAAATAGAAAAAATTAAGAAGAATAAAATAAGGAATTAGAGGGAGAGTTATTAAAATAAAGAGATGAATTAATTAATAGAGATGAATAAATTCGATATTTTGAATAAATGTATTAGGATATTAGATACAGAGATGCTGATTAATAATCTTAAATAGAATATCTAAATTAATAAATTAATTATTATAAGTAATAGTTAGATTAAGCTACATATAAATAAGATGAGGCATATAATTAATTAGCTAAAGTTGAAAAGCAATAACAATAATTTTTGTAAACTTAAGAATAAGAAATTGAAAAGAGAGTATCAAATTATAAAGATTTACTTGAAAAAAAGAAATAAAAAATTAATGAATAAAAATTATCTATTGATAATTTAAATTAAAAAATAACTGATTTTTAGAGATTACTTGATAATGAAGAGAAAAATCATTCAATATAAATTTAAGATTATTAGAAATTATAATAAATCAATTCTGAACTTAAATCTGTTATTGATAATTAGTAAAATAAATTATTAACAGCAGAAAATAGAATCTAAAGTCTCGTTCTTGAAATATAAGATTAAAAATCTGCATTATAAATTAAAAAACAAAAATTTGAAGAATTTGAATTATAATCTCGACAAGATTTTCGTACAATAGAATAAGTATTATAGAATATTAAATTTTTAGTTAAAAAATTAAGTTCTTCATTTATAAGAACAATTAACTAAATCATAATAGTATTGTAGGGATTTAGAAAATGATATTTAAATGACAAAACATGAGAATGATAAAACCATGGATGAAATTGAGATTAAAATTGACCATCTGGTAAAATAGTTAACTTAAAGTAAAGAAGAAATTAAGGAATACAAAAATAGAGAAAATGAATTGAAATAAAAAATAAAATCTTAAGAAGAAGAAATTCTTAAACATGCTTAAAAATCTGCTAAATATAAATAATAGATTGAATAGAGTCAGTATTCATTAAAATAAGTAAATAGTCTAAAATTAATTAATAGATTGAAGAGAAAGTTAGAATTTATGAAAGTGAAAGAGAGATTTAATCAAGATAAGTTTTGTAAGTTAAATAGGATTAAACTACAACATAAAATAAATTGAGAGTTTTGGAAGACATACATTCATTAATAAAAATGCACAAAAAAATTTGATTATGAAATTTATATATTTACAAATTAATTATACAATTAATATCTAAAGTATCATATTATGATTAATAATAAATAAATTATCAAATGAGCAAGCTAAACTACTAGGAGTTGCTTGCATCACTTTATTCAAAAGGGGACTCTTAGGCACATCCTTATACATATGATAATACAGCTACTTAAAACAGAGAACTATCAAATTAATAGTATATTGCATCTCAAAATTCAATAATAGTTGAAAATGATAAATTAAATACTATTGGATTTAGCAATACATTTCAATTTTAAAATTCAAGACTTTTAGATTTAGATGATTTACTTTAATCAGGTAGAGTATATGAAGATAATTCTTGCTAATCAATAATTTCTTAAGTTTAAACAAGAAATCAAAAGAATAAAAGTAAAATATCTAAATCTGAGTAAAAATAAAATAAAATGAAGAAAAAAGTTGAATAAGTACAAAAGAAAGAGAAAAATGTTCATTTGGGAATTTAATGTTAATAGTTACATTTTCCAAGTTCAAGTCTTCGTCCTAGATATGTTAAAGTTTATTAAAGAAATGAAGAATTATGTATTAAAAGATTTTATTAAGTTTAATTGCTGTTTGAAGAACTGTAGTAAATATATCCTTAATGTACAGATTGGGATGTAATTCTATTATTGGATTTATCCAATAAAAGTTTTGATAGAGCTTTTAAATTATTAAAAGAGAGTAGTTATTTCGTATAATACTATCTATAAGGTATATATTAATTCTTGAATAAATAGTATAATCTTTAAAAAATGTTGATAGAAATGGATTAGAAAATAGATGGAAGAAAAGATGATTTTAAAATGGATTTAATATAGTAAATTAAGCATGATTCAAATAATTGGTTATAATATATAAGTGTTAAAAATCATCTCATTCAAAAGCAGATACGTAAACATTGTTTCTATTAACAATTTTGTCATTTAATTGTTAATATTTCATTCTTAATATTTATAAATCTTATTGTCTTTTAGTAATTTCCATTTCCAATTAATTTAAATCTAATTTTGATGGTTAAAAGTATTTATTATTTTTGCTATCTGATTAATAAGGCATTTTATCAATTACAGTATTAATAGTGTTAAGAATTCTATGTTATTAAGAGGATGATCTATTTCTATTTTGAGTTTCATATTAAATAAGTTATTTAACAAAGCCTGAATTTGGTTTTACTTATGGTCTCCTTGCTATAACAGAATTAAGAGTTCTCTAAAAACCCCAATTGAACTTTTGCATAATATATGCAATAACAACTGATGCACTTCTAGAGATTCCAGCAAAACAATGAACCATAACATTAGTATGTTATCTGTGTCTTTCTATAAATTCATTAGTTTTAGGGAAAAATTCTTAAATGTTTTATTCAGTGCAATCTGGAATGTTAATTACTTAATGAATAATACTGGAAGAAGTACTTACTTTTGGTTCATCTATAACACTAAGCAAAGCTCCAATTTATAATTATTATAGTAATTCTTTGCTTAATGCACAATCTATATCAGCCAGATATAAACCACCACTTAAATGATTAATATGAAACTTACATCTATTAATTGTTTTTGATAATTGGGTCAATTATGCAATCCCACTTGTTTAATTTTTATATCATTTAACAGACAAATATTTTAATTAATAAATAATAAAATTAGTTTATAGGTATTCATATTTATTTTACATTAATTACGATATCCTCTTAATGTAATTCATTATAAGTCTAAAAGGACATCTAATTATCTTTATCCTTTTCAACATTCGGAATAATTGTAGCTTATTCATTTTAGTTAATTTTTGTCTAAACAACTATTTTATCAGGATGTTTGTAACAAGTGAATCTAAATTTATGAAATTTAAATTACTATTTATTATAAGACTTTCCTTTATCCTTAATTTGAATGTATACTAAGACTCTTCCAATTTAGTAAAGTACTTTTTGCAATGATGGTAAATTGTACTTAAGTAATTTATCAGACTAGGCATATAAAAGGGTTCCAAATTTAGAATTATTGTCTTGTAGAATAAGTTTGTATTAATTGTCTTCTTATTTGATAACTTTTATTATAGCATGACTTCTAGATACTGATATATCTTTAAGTTTAATATCACAGTCAGGTATTCTCCCAATTTTAATTTCTGCTCTATCTTAGAGTTCCATAACTTAGATAATGCCTTCTTTAGATTTATCATCTGAAGTAATTTTCCAAATCATATAAGGCACAATTGGTTTCTATATTTGCATAATACAAAAGATTTATCTTTGATATGTGTAGGTGCTCTTTAATGGCATTTTGCAGATTTCACATTCCATTTTCTTCCAGATGTATTAAGTTGAGGATTATTGATTTTTAACTTTTATTGATTATTGAATCCAAACTTATAAGCAATGAAGATGAACATATTTCATGGAACCAATACCTGTAATTTAATTTAAATAAACTTACATTTGCATGGACTAAAAAGAGGGTTTGAAACTGTAGCATTTTTTTAGAAACAAATTCTACATTAACAACCATCTGGGTCTAAATCTTAAGACTATATTTCTTCATCATTAATATCTGTTTAGTCTCTTTATTATTGTAATGCATCTAAATCATAATTAAAATCCAATAATTGTAATTTCATTCTACCCAATTTGATGATATCTCCTCTCTACAGTTCCCATTCCTTTATATTTTCTTTTATATTTATATACATTCAATGACTCAAACTCTGGTCTTCGGCATAGTATTGCCCACACCCTCTGATCTGATTTCTAGCTCATTCCTGATAGAGTCACATAATCTTATTCACAATCAACTCTAAGCAGCTGAACTTGTTTTTTTACATACTCCTTTATAATAGTGTTAATAAATTTACATTCTCACTTAATGCTATAATTTAATTATCAACCATTGAAAGTGTAGCTAAATAATAATGAACAAGGTTACCTGAAAAATCTAGTTCTAACTCTTTTCTGCATGCTTGGTGACTCTCGAAATCGAATAAGTTATGACTTTCTTTATTCCAGATGAATGCTGTTATACAAACTCTGAAAATATTAATTATATTTACTTATATGACACAATTTATACATTTCCATCTATTTTTTTTTATTTCATTGACGCACATGATCCCATTGTTTATTAAAAAATTATTAAATAAATAAATATGCTCTAATAATCTCAAAATATTGATTACTTGTATATACCTACTAGTAAGAATTTATAATCACTCCTTAAAACCTCAACTTTTTGGACTATTGGAAATGTTCAATCAGCTTATCTTATTAAGTCTTAATTAGTAAATCTAACTAAAAGTCAAAATTATGAATATGCATTAACTAAAGATGGCTCATTGATCAAATTTGGACATCAAAAAACTAAATATTGCAATCTTTTCAATAGTCTATATATACTATCTTATACTGATAAGAGTTTTTTGTTGACTTCATATGATAGAGTAAAAGAGTATCATTGCACTGACCAAAAATAATTAAAAAATTGGATTGAAAATTTAATAAGGTTTTGTGTAACAAGAGGCCAAATCTAAACTAGATTTAGATTCTTAAGTCAAATCAATAATGGCAATTATTCAAAAGTATTGTATTTTAAAAAAAGGGTTATCTAATCGAGGACAATAAGTAGAGACAATTTGTATGCAAGACTTTCCAAAAGACTGATTTGATCAAAGTTACTAAACTTAGAGATTCTGTAATTGGTGAAATGTTATTATTAAGACCTATTGATCATCAAAATGTGATTAAATTATTAGAAATTCATGAAGATAATAAATAAATATATTTGATATATGAATATGCAAAAGGGGAATTGTTTTAAGAATTCTAAAAGAAAAAAACAGAGAAATCTCAATTTAGTGAATAATAGATTAGCAATTTTATGAAATAAATATTTGAAGGTCTTAAACATATACATTCTCTCAATATTATGCATAGAGACATTAAATTAGAAAATATTCTTGTAAAAGATTCTTAAACTATAGTAATTGCTGATTTTGGATTAGCAGCAAAAAAAATACCTAAATTCGAATATAAAAAATATGGAACTCCAGGGTATATTGCTCCAGAAGTATTAAATTTGAAAATTTATAATGAAAAAATTGATATATTTAGTGCAGGAGTAGTAGCTTATATTCTAATGACTTAATAACCTTTATTTTCAGGTAATACAATTAGTGCTATTTTAAATTAAAATACAGCAGGAAAAATTGATTTTAATAATTCGAAATTTGTAAGTCTTAGTAAAGATGCATAATCATTTTTAAAAAGAGTTTTATGTCTAGAAGAAAATTAAAGACCATCTGCAGCAGATTGTTTAGATTCTCCTTTTTTATAACTCTAAACACTTAATAATGAAATAGGAACTCCATTATTATAAAAAAAAGAAGTAAATTGTATCATAATTGAATAGGTTAGATTAAGTTACTTAGGTTCATCTGTTTTACCTGAATAGATTAACCTATCTAAAGCAAAAAGAAGATCTATGAGATAATATATTTTATTAAAATAAGCCATTATTACTGAAAAATAGAAAACATAACTTATGTAATAAATAGCTGAATAATAATAAGGAGATGAAGAGGATTAAGAAAATCTAATTGTATAAGAAACAGTAAAAAATGTATAAATAATTAATTTAATTTAGATTACAGGGTCTTTTTATACTGAGACAAAGAATGGATAAAATAATGAATAATAATAAGAAAGTGATTCTAGTGAAAGCATGAATGGAGAATCTTCTGAGAGTGATGATGATGATGCCAATTTATTTTTAGAGGATGATTCATGTCATAATCTGTCCTCAAAACTTTCTTAATTAGGTGGGATCAAAATAAAAATGAAAAGATGAATTAAATTTAAACATTATATATATCTATTATGATTCAAATATAATAATTTATTTAAGTCATAATATATTAGTAAATTTTTATAAAATTGATTATAATAATATTAGAGAATCCCATTATTTATTTAACATATTATTGTTTATCATATTTTCTTCTTTTTCTTTTTCATTAAATTTACCATATTCTTTTCCCAATTTGGAGGTAATTTAGGTTATTATTTTTCATTATCTGGTAAATAGGTCATTGCACATTCAAGTCTTCTTTCAAAATCTTTTATTTCATCTATACCTTATTCACATTAACTATAGGTAAGCCAATTAGTCATAAGATCTTAATGTGTTGTTATTTTTGGTCTGAAAAATTAAAATACAATTGAGCCAAAATGAGATTCTATTAGTGAATTGAATTTATAAATTCTGCATATCTCTCTTAATGCAAAATTAATCTTATTATCTAAAAATATCCTATCTTAAAACTTAATGCGATGATATTCTTAAATCTAAATTATTTTGAAAATTACTCTAAAACCATTATTTAGTTATTAGTATTTTCCTAATTCTTATCCAATATTCTATATTCTTATCCAATGACTATTCAATTATTCAATATAGAACTTTGCTGAATCTTGATCATTGTAACTATAAGAGAATAAGTTGTTTTGTACTGTCTATTTGTTAATAATATAATACATCAAGATAATTTTTTACATATATTTCCATAAGAGAGGCAACTTCATCATAAGGACATTGATCAATTTTATCTTTTACATTTTCATAAGACTCTCCTTAAAAATACAATTCTTTAAATGCTTAATTTACTTAATCCATTTTTTATTATATTAAAGTAAGAATGAAATCATAACCTAATTAATTATTAGAAAAGATCAATAATTGTCATATACATGTTAAATAACATTCTAAACCATCAATTCATTTTAAAAAAATGGTTCTAACTTATCACTGGAGCTTAGCAATAAATAAACTTTAAAAAATATTTACTTTAAGATGTAAAATGCCCTTAGAAATTTTAAAAAATGAAGATCAATAAATGAAATAATCATAATCAGAATAAAATAGTTAAATATTTATAAACAAATTGAATAAGCATGTTAGATATTTATCTTAATAACCTTAAATTGAAACTGATTCTTAATTAGAACAAGATCAAATTTCTGAGGAAATAGATGATCCTGAATTACCATAAAATAATCTTCATTATTAAAATAAACATCTTAAATTGGACATATCAAGAATTTAGAATCAATAGAGTGATGTAAAAGAATCAGCACATTTTCAGTCATAGAATAGTTTAGATCAACTAAAATTCAATGAAGAATTTTTAGACTTATTTAAAAAGTAAAGAGTGTTAAGTTAATTTGGATAATTATGTAAAATATATTATATTTAATTCTTAGGTTAAAATAAAATCAAAGAATAAGAAATGTTAATAAAGAAAATAATAGAGAGTAGACCAAGTAAACCACTCACAGATGTAAAAACATTTCTATCTCTTCTGAAAAAACCATAGATTGAAGTTCAGCAAGCTAAAATTATATAATAAAATTAATAGCCTGTATATCTGATTCTTATTATTTTCTTCATTAGCTTGATTAGTATTTATATAATTGTTTGATATATATATTATTAAAATTTATTATGCAAAAACGATTCTTTATAGCATTCTTAACTCTAATGTTAGTTTAGACTAAATCAGTAATGAAAGGAGTTATTGAATTTACAGCACCTAGTTGTTGTGATCCTATAATTAAAAAGATAACTTTTCCAGATAAATTTAATGATATCCCTTAAATTTTAGTAACGATTAGAGCAATAGAATATGATGCTGGTCCTGTTGGATTTTTCTGTTAGATTTAAGATATAACTGAATAAGGTAATTACATAGTTTCTATGTAGATTTTACATTTTAATTGACAGTTCTCCATGCCACATTAAAAGTTTTAGCATATGAATATATTGCAATTAATTAAGATGAAGTTGAATTTGGGTATTTTAATGTTGATGCACTTTCAATCTTGAAAAAAGCAGAAGCTGGAGATAGAGTAATACCATCTTTATTGACATTCAAAAGAACATTTACTGAAGATCCAATTGTTTAAGTATTCTTAGTTGGAGTAGAATCATAATCAAAGCTCATACAATTTGAAGTCTCTCCATTAACAGTTTCATTACATGGGGTTTAATTAAATTTCAAAAAGTTTGGAGACACAAGTGTATAGAAAGTTTAATTAGCATATGTTGCTACATAGTCTAGCAAAGAATTAGCATAATAAGTTACACATACTGGTTAAAAGTAAGCACATATTGAACCTGCAGATCATCAAGAAGAATCTAAATCATCAGAAAAAGTAGAAGAAAATAAAGAATTCTTATAATTAAGAAGCAAACCAAAACTTATTTAAATAAATGGAATTAATGGTTTAAGATTTACATCATTACCAGTTGCTTTTATGTGGTAAGGAGATTAAATTGATCCAACTGCTTTGAATGTTAATTTGAGAATAACTTTAGATAAAGGAAATTAAGCAGTTTTAGGATTGTATTATTTTGAAGAGAAAGAATATAAAAAATGTCCTATTGTTTATTCAATGTGTAATTATTAAGGATCAAAAGTATATTTATGTAAAGATGTATCAGATTTTAATTCAATTATGAGATTAGCCAAAAGTATCTATATTCCAGAGAAGGCATCAGTTGTTGTATATTAAGATCCATCTTATAGTGGAGCAAAGAGTAAGATAACTAAAAGTATACCATGTATATCTGATTGGTTTACTGATGTTGCTGAGACAGAGATGTCAGATATTAAATAATTTCTATAAATAAACTAAATGAAAAGGCATAAAGATCAAGAATTCAAAGAAATTCATTTAGATAATTAAAAATAATTGAATAAATTTAACATGGTTTAATTACCTCATTGGAATGATGCAGGAGATACAATAGAAGTAGTATAAGCAATATTAGATTCTAATAGTCCTCCTGCAAATTCGTACTAATAAGAATTAAGTAAAATTTTGTTTTATTAACAATATTAGTTTAAAAATAAAATGAAGAAGAGGAAACCTTTCTCAAAAATAGAAAATTTTATTGACTTATTTAAAATTTTAATTAAAAAAATATCTTTAATAATATAACTCAATTTGAATTGTAAATATTTTTTCAAACTTTAGGTTTAGGTTATAGAAGTTTTTGTCTTATTACTTTCCATGCTTGTTAAATTTCACTTGAATCTTAAACATTACTTTGAATTTACAATTATTAGAGTTATGCATCATTAAAATCAAAACAGTTGAAAATATCACAAATTTTATTTGTAATTCCCTGATTTTTAAATTGACCTACAAAATTACAAATAATTTTAGCAAAAAATAAATTTTAATTTTTATCTGAATCTTATATTTTCTTAATTACTAATTCAAAAAAATATAAAAAATAATAGATTGGCCTCTCTTATGTTTCATTTTTTGCAGTTTAACATAACGAAATTAATTAATTTTTATATTATGAAATTTCTTAAGAACTTTATAGTTTTATTGCAGAAAATAAAATTCTCCATGCCTATTCTCTATATTCCCAATCTTCATTTAAAGCTTATAATGAACAGATGTTTAATATTAACTTGAAATTAACTGTTAAAATAGAAACATCATTTTTCTAGACTTTAAATTTATCGAAGATCAAATCACTTGAAATATCTCTAACAGGTACTAAATATTAATTTAAAAATATTAGCAATTTAATATCTTAAAGAGAATTACATTCATAATTCTTAATAACTTATTTTGCTAATTAGGATCCTAATTTTGTGATTTCAATATTATTATGTAATAAAGAATATCTTAAGACTTCAATAAAATCATTTTAATCAACATCTTCTACATTAAGCAATTAATTAAAAGCAGATAATTAGGTTTACTTTTAATTGATTAAACAACACTTCAATAATAAATCTGTAAAATTATTAATATTTGTTTTATTTTAAAGTTCTTTAAGTATTTATAATAATGGACTTAATTAAATCTTTGAAATATATTTTTCTTAAAAATTTATCTTTTAATTATGCAGTCCAATTAATTGATTATTGTCTTAATCTTGTTATAAGTAATTATTATACTTTAATAATTTATGATAACTTAATAATAATCTTAATATTAATCACAATATTATAATGATGAATTCATACTTTGTATAAGCTTTTCTTGAATTTCCAAATATTCTGGTTTTAGATATATATCATTCTTATTCATTAATAATGTTAATAATTTTGATGTATTTTCTTAAAACATTTCTTCTGATACTTCCAAATATTATGTTAAATGAAGTTTAAAAATTTAACTTAAATTTTTGATATCTAAGAAATTATAATTGGATTCTAAGTAAAACTATTAAATTAAAAATTAATTAATACAATTATAATCCATATTCCTGCATTATTATCTTGCCATCTTGTACTTTATAAAAGAATAGCAATCAGTGTTTAAATACTAAATTAAAATATCATTATACCTAGAGAAAGCTTCATTAACAATGATTTAATTGGCTAATTTTGATGATTCAAATAATGTATCAATTAATTTTTTAAGTTTTTTAGTTGCCTAAATACCTTTTGAAAAATCCTCTTCTCCAGCAGATATTGCATATAAGTAGAAATTTTAAAAGTTTTTAGTAAATTTAATATTCTAATTATCCTCTTGATTAATCAAATTACTGTATTTCTAATTCAATTCTTCAATCTTTTATTCCATTGACAACTAATTATATTATTTTTTGATAAACAATTTATATGTAAAATTATCATTATTAATTTTATTTTAAAAGTCTTAAAAGACATTTCATATTTTACTATTTAGGGTCATCTATTTATCCATTGTCTTAAAAGAAACTATACTTAAGTGGACTAGCTACGATTGGAATATAATATGTATAGGTAATTGCATATGTCAACAAAGAAATTAAAAATGGACTTGGAATATTTTATTATAAAATGAGCATAATGAAATTGCAAGCCAAAGCTAAACATACAGAGATGATATGAGCAACTTTATTCAATTAATCATCTAAAATAAATATTAAATAATTATTACATAAATTAAGTTTTGTCTCTAATTCAATTGCTTAATCTTGTTATTAATTAATATTTTGATTTTCCTAATTAATTAATTCTTAACCTTATCTGAGTGTTGTAAATACTAAATATTAAAATTTGTTCATTCCAAAAAATTATAGTATATTCCTTAAAAAATTCAAAGGGAACAAGAAAATTAAATTAAAAGCTTGAATTCCTGCTTTCCCTATTTAAGAAAACACTGTATTTTATTTTTAATATAGATTATATTCTGAAAGTAGGCAAATCTATATTGCAAAGTATAAATATAGTATAAATGAAATTAATGGCAAAACAATATTAAAAATTAAAGAGGTTTCTCCAAATGCATATTAAGATGACTCTTAACTTATGGACAAAGAAGACCTAGAATATTTAATGTTAATTTAGATACATGTTAATAGTATAAAATAGGATAAAGTTGATAATTTAAAATAGGATCAAATGCCATGTATATTTTTTTGGTTTTTGATTTGGATCTGTTTATGCACTATTTAAATAATCTTTATAATAGAGGACTGTGAACCAATGAGTAAGTGGAAACACTGAAAATTGAATTCTATCCAGTATATATTTAAAGATTAAGTAACACAATAAAAGATTCATAAATGCAATTAACACTAAATATACTAAATCCATTTTATTAAGCATCATAATAGCAGCCATTTATGATAAATCATATTAGGAATCATTTGAAATCAAACTAAAAGGAATAGAAATAAAATGGTACATATCATTAGCCTCTTGAACTGATCTATATTTCCTTATAAGTATTAAAATAATTGCAAAGCTAAGTATTATAGAGACTATAGATGACATCTTGACTATGAATTCTGCATAATCTCTATAAAATGCCAAAGTTCCATAAATGATAGCTAATGAAATAAAAATTATGCATATTATCACAAAGGAATCATCCTTTAAGGATTAACTTATATACATTTAAATAGGTTTTTCAACAAATGGTTCTAATTAATAGAAATTTTTGTCTAGAGTAGGCAAACAGATTTAATTTTCATCTAAATTATAATAAAATCTACATGTAATGAAATTGGGTTGATTTCTTCTAACCAAATGATTATGAAAGGCTTATTTTTTTGTATTTGCATTTTGATTGCAATCAGATACACATTACATTTCAAAGGAATCAGTATATTTGATAAATTGATTAGGACATATCTAACCTTTTTGTGGTAGTCCAATACTAGTAAAGGGAATTTGTAATTGAAGGAATACATCGATGGCTATGTAGGATAGAAATGCTAAAATAGTGAAACCAAGACATAGTTGATCGGTTAAAGCCATTTAAAAAAATAACAATAAAAAATAATTAAAGTATATGATATCAATCATTTTCTAATGAATTAAAGACCAGCAGGATTATGTGTTTGAATTGATAAGAAATACTCATAAACTTCTACTAATTCTTTTTCTGCAACAACTTTAGTTGTCCCAGGTTAATCAACAACAATATCTAATATTAAATATTTTGTAAGATATCTAATGCATTTGCTTAATTAAGTAAATTGAAAACCAAACACAATTTCAATGAATGGTTTATATATACGTTAGAAATCAAGTATATCTTTTTCTTAAATTTTATTTTCTACTATTCTTTGATAAGTACATCCACAATATTGTTTTAATAAAACCAAATAAAGTAAGGATGAAACTATTTCTCGATTAGTAAATTGATATAATTTAATATCTAAAATAGCACAATCTAAAAAAGTCATAAAATGTCTGAATAATGTATATGATGATTATGTTGGTTATTTCATTTATAGATTAGTTTAAGGATAATAAATATCCCATTAAGATAGGTACCATGAACTCCAAAGATAGAGAGTAGGTGGATTAATCATCCATTTTAATTCACTTAATATATCTTATTCTTTATCTAATATTTATTGTTCTGTAAATCCATAATTGCTAGCTGATGAAAAATCATTAACTTTTGGTGGATAGATTTCCTAGAATAAGTAATAATAAATACTTCAATTTTACATGCAATTAATAGACTTGCTAAACCACATAATTAAAGTTCTGATTTACTAATAGAGATTTTAGACATATATCTATCAAGATTATGAATACATAAATGAAAAGTCTCTCTTTTTAATGTAAATTCTTTACAAACTTCACTTATCCAATCATATAATATAGATCTCATTAATGGAGATATATGACTTTAATGTTCAAAAAATTATGGATGTATTTTATATTCTAATTCTTTTTAATACAATAGTCTTAATGTAATTTCATCAAAAATTCCTTCTTTTTAATCATTAATTTCTATCTATTCTTAACATCCAATATCTATTTTTTTCAATTTGGTTCTTTAAGATTATGCTGTTTTTTTAATTAATTGACTAATTTATTTTCTAATATCTTCTGTATTAGTATTTTAAGAGGATTTTTGTTTCCTTTAAGTGTCATTGCTATTCATATTTTCTTTATTCTTTAATCCACCAATAGAAGCTTTCCTTATAGTGATTTACTTAGGTGAAGGATCAAGAAGAGCAACAGCACTTAAATTCTTGCGTCTTGCATCCTATATAATTAATCTACTCTGTAGAGGTTGCTTCATTCAAATTTAAATAACGAAAATAAACATAATTAACTTTATCCATAATATTATCATTTCGATTGACTTTCTCTATGTCTCTATCTTATTTGCATTATTCCTTATACTTTTTGATAAGGTGAAGCACACAAAGCTATATAACTTGAAGATCTTCCTAATCTACATGAATTTGCAACATTTAAGGAAGAACTAGGTCTATATGGTTCCAATTTATTAGGCTATAAGATTATATGATTGTAATTAATACATAATCGAAATAACATACAATATATTCGACATATTCACCTAAATTTGAGTTCATTGATCTACCACATCCAATCTAAAATAACATAGATTAAAGTAATTATTGAGCAGATTGTTTTGATTACATCCATTCATTTAAAATAAACTCAGGGTCTATATTCCATTTATCTGTATGAACACGTTATTTATAAATCAAAAATGCTTATTGAGCTTTGTACTAACTAAAATTAAAATATACATGTCTACAATAAATTGGATGTTCTGGACAACTTTCAGAACATTCTTAAGCTCCTTTTGCTAGTTCTTATGACCATGTTGTAATATGCATATCAGATGCTGGTTATATTTAACCTTTATGATTAGCTCTTCTTCCTATTGCTACTTCATTACGAATTCTATTCAAATTCTATTCAAATTAAGATGCCTATTTTGAATTAACACTTTTAGAAATGATATTGCAGTTTAATTCTTGTTGTTATGTACTTATTTATGAACTTATACTGAATAATATTAATATTATCATCATTATTTTTATTATTTATGCTAACTTTCAAATATTCTACTTGAATGTTCTGGATTCATAATAAGCATTTTATTATATGAACTTGCACATAATCCACTATATTAATTTGATCTACCAAATCTACATGCCTTTGCTATTGATTTTTCATTAGCTACTATATAAGCAGCCTTACCATCTATTGGAGCCTTTAAAATAATATATAATTAAAACTTAATCAAAAAAACAAACAACATATTCCATATATTTGTCTACTGATTTCTTAATTGCTCTTCCACATCCAAATTATGAAATTGTTGCTATCATTAATTATTCAGCATTTTGTTAATTTTACATCCATTTTTTAACAATATCTTAAGGATTCCATTCAACTCCTGATGAATCTACCATTCTCTAATGAAACAATATACCAAAATCACCTTTTAACTTAGTATGATTTAAAAAGTACGTTTTTACAAGTATTTAGAGAATCAGGACATCTTTCAGCACAATTTTAAGCTCCTCTAGATAATCCAATTGACCATGTAATTATTTACATATTAGCAGCATATTCAAATAATCCCATATGATTTTGTTATCTTGCCTATGCTACTTCATTTCTTAATTGATTAATGGATCTTTCAAATTCATAAATCTATTTAGAAAATATTCCTTTGATAGTAGTTGTACATTCTTAACTATTAGAAACTATTAAGATTCCAAAGAACAGAATAAAATTCATTAAATTATATATATTTTATTACTCATTTCAATAATACTTTCAATTCAATATCTACTCTAACATTATTTTTAGCTGCAAAAATAGGAGTTGGAGTACCTGATGATTTAGTTGCCATTCCTGCTGCTTTAGGACCATAAACATCTGTTACAGGATTATTATAATTATCCAAATATTTAAAGTGAAGAATCTCACTAAATTCTAGTTTTAATGACTCAGCAATTTATTTTGCTTTTCGTTCAGCATCTTAAATAGCTAATTTGATTGCCTCATTATTAGCTTTAGTCATTTCATCTTGGTTATTTGAATAATTAACTCCATCTATTCTATTTAAACCTGCATTAACACCCACAGTAATAATTTTACCAATCAATTATAAATCCTTTGTTGTTACATATAATTAATTTGTAACTGAATATCCTATTAATTGTTGTGTTCCTGATGTGTAATCATATCTCAAAGAAAGTTAAAAGATTCCAGTCTAAATTGTATAGTCATCTCTAAAAAGACTATATTTAATTTCATCCACAGCCTTAGTGACTAAGGTATTTGCATTCTCTAGAGCCACATTTGCATTTTTATCTTAGATTTCGATTGCAAAAATTACAGTTCCTATTGAAGGTTCTAATTAGACTATTCCAGTTCCAGGTACTTTGATTTTGAATTGATGATGATGATGTTCATGTTTAAGATTAGAGTAACTTTCAATTTGATATGCTTTATTAGCTTAAATAGATCTAGCTATCACTGTAGATATAGATAATAGCAAAAAAATCATTAATTTTATAATTATAAACTCAGGAATAATTATTATTAATAAAAATGATCCTATTTGAATTGCAAAATCAATTACAGATTTTAGATTAATCAAAAAATAAGAAATGATTTAAATACTTTATAATTGATTGTAAATTATAGTTTCATTACCATATTATTATTAATGATATAGTCGAAACACAGAATGAATTTAAAATAAAAGATAACTTAAAAATATGATTATGTAAAACCATCATATATTGATATTTTTTATATTATGATTATATCTGATAAATTTGAAAAAACAAAATCTCAAAAATAATTACTTAAATATCATCCATTTTATTAGTTTATTAAATATTTTCAATTATTTCAATGAATATACAAAAGTTTATGTCGATCATTTATTTCAAGATATTCTTATCATATTCAAACATTTTTTATTATTTTAATTAAAAATGATTAATAATTTATAATTATTATTTATTCACACAGAAGACCCTAATGAATAACAAATGAAATAATCAACAGCATTTATAGATCCGATTATTTTTGATTTACTTTAAAGTGACATAGATTTTAATAACGAAAATCATAAGAGAGTTCAAACATTGAAATAGAATGAATAATATTCAATAAAAAAAGACTAAAACTTTCTTCAATTCACTTAAATATAATAATCATAAAGTAAAATATTAATAACTTTCAAATATTTTAGAAGAAAATTCAATAAGAGAGAAATTTGGATTTTTCACAAAATTGTCAATAAATAATAATAATCAACTAATCATTACATAAAATAATATATGAATGAAGGCTATTTGATATTTGTAGTTTAAGTTTTTCTAGATAAGCATTGCTAAATTTTATGTCTTAAAGACTTTATTAAATTATAGAAAGAGAAAATAAATAATTTGATATTAAATTTTGAAAATCTTATTTCTTTTCATTTAAAAAAAGTCATTTTTACAAATTTAGATACACTTGTAAGAAAAATTAAAAATTTTGAACAATAATCCGATATATACATAAATAATAACTTATAATTAAATAAAGTAAAGGTAAAACTTTTATAATTAATATCTGTCTTAGATCAAAAAGAAAATACAAAAACTATTCTTATGTAAATTTATGGTGAAAACAATCTTTTAGAAGTGAAATATAAAAGTTCTTTTAAATTAAATAATTAATAATTATCTTTAATTAATAATGGAATCGTAAATAATTTAGAATAAAAGGTAAATGCTTAGCTTAATTCATTTAATAGCAAAATTCAAGATATATTTTTTAATTTATTTTTATAACAATATTATGATAGTAAAAACTAAAGAAGTTTTATATTTTAAGAGTATTAAAGCCTTTCAGATTATTTTAGTGGATTTAAACATTAATTAGATACATTTGAAATTAGAATACACATTCTTATATAAATATTCTGTGTATATTTATTAAAAATTTAATTGAATTTTGATTAAAGTTTTCCATAAAATGATGTTATTCTCATTAATTCTAATAAATAGATCAAACTTGATATGTTTTAGTTTTAAACTAATATATAATGCAAAAATAATTAGAGTAATTAATCAATTAATGAAGAATAACACAGTTTGTTAAAATATTTTGAATTATTAATACCAAAAAAAGTAAATAAATATATTAAATTTTAAAGGAAAAATAAATATTGATAGGTGATTTCAATCTTACTAAAGAATTGGAAATGATGAAATAATCAATTGCAAAAAATGAAATAAAGTTGTATTATTTAATAGATAAATTAATAATGATAGAAGAATTAATATTAGAAAAATTAAATAGTTTATTTTGAAATCAATGATTTTATATATAATTATTATTACATAAACTAAATTAATTTAATTTTGTGCATCTATTTCCTAATTCTTAAAGCTTTGCATTTTTTAGTAAATATTTAATTTATTTATTTTTGGCCATTTTTGAGTAATTTAGATACTCAATATCATTTGGACATTAAATAGATAAAAAAAGCTAAAATTATTATAAAAGTGAATGTTTACTTTAACAATATCTGAGAGATTTGATTTAATTGCATTTGATAGAGCAGACTCTCCATTCAAATCTTTGCTTAAAATATTGGCACCATATGATAGTAATATTTTAATCATAATATATGATTATTTCTTAGTTGCTATATGTAATGCTGTCATGTTTTTTTCATCAAAATCATGTACATACAATGGATTTACACCTAGCATCTCTTCTACTTTATCTGTTACTCCTTTTTTTACATAAAATAAAAATGCAAAAGATCCTTATTATTAATAAGGTTTATTTTATGTAATTTTATTATCAATAAGATCTTGTAAAGAAATTTACAATTCTTTAGATTTTTTTAATAAAAACTAAATGATTTCTCTCAGTCTTCTTTATCTTGCACATCTATAATATCTATTATCAAAATCCATAAGTTCTTTTTAATCATTTCTATAAATCATCTAATTTAAGGCTTTATTATAAATTGAAACTTAAGAATCATAGTTTTATTTTAATTCTAATGATTGTATAAATGAATAAATACATGATTTATAGATTGATCTTTTTGAGGACATATAACTATTAAGATTTTGTTAATATTGACTTGAGGTTCTTTAAGAGTAAATTCCAGGACTATATCCATCTTGAATGCTTATATTATCATGCTTTAACTAGCTATGTGTTTAATTTTTAATGATTTTTAGACTTGGAACATCAGGTTTTGGTTGAAGTTTTTTAATAACATATTTTGATGGAGTTTGCCTAGAAGTTAAAATATAATTAGATTGGCTGATTCCTCGAGAATGCACAGATGAAATAGATCTTGTTTCTTTGTTTGATATTCCTTGTTGTGATTATTATTGTTTTTAATAAATAATTTTTCTCATAATTATAAAAATTAGTAGTTATCTTTTGTATAATCTAATATATTTAGTAATTTTGGATTGACTATTTGATCAAAAAGTAGTAAAATTAGAAATCAAATTTTAGAAAATTAGTTTATTATTTTAATAATGTTTAAATTTAATTAGGATTGGTTATTAAAGAACAAATATACAGCATTATCAATTATTGCAAGTGTTGGTTTATTGATGTTAAGTTTTAGAAAGAAAAACTTAAATCCATTTGAATCAACATATAAAAGAGTGTCATAAGAGATTCAATAAAAAGTTCTTTAAGCTAGGTATGTCATATAGACAGAGTTAAAATTATCTAATGAAAATAAAACCCTTATATTAAATAGTTCTATTCCTTAAATTCATTAATTTTATGAATCTAAAAAGTTTACATGTTTGGATGTGTTATTAACATTTTTGGAAGTGGCATTGGAAAAAGGATTCAAAATGGGTTATTTGAATGATGTAAATTTAGAAGATGCTATATAAAAAGCTAGATAATTAGATTAGGAATTAAAGAGTAAAGATTATAAGATAGAGAATAAACCTTTATTTGGAATTCCTATAAGTGTGAAAGACACATTTATAGTAAAAGGAACATATTAAGCATTTGGATGTGGAGCATATGCTTAAAAGAGATCAGAAATAGATGGAATATAAGGATATTTAATAAATAAATCAGGAGGAATAATATTTGCAAAAACAAATTTACCATAATTTGGATTTTCATATGAAAGTTGGAATTATTTATTTGGAAGATCTATACATCCTTAAGATCCAACTAGAACTTCTGGTGGTTCAACAGGAGGAGAAGGTGGATTGATAGCAATAAATGGTTCTCCATTGGGTTTAGGAAGTGATAGTGGAGGAAGTATTAGAATTCCTTCTCATTTTTGTGGTTTGTATGGATATAAGCCAAGTTCTAAAAGATTAATAATGAGAGGTTAGGCTAAAGGAGTTCCAACATGGGATGGAATCAGGAATATTGCATCTTGTTATGGTCCTATGTGTAAGAATTGATTTATATATTATAGCTAAACATTTTTCTAATTTAGTCAATATGATGTCAGCATTAACAACTAATTATGAATAGGCTCCAATTAATATAAAAGATATCAATTTTGTGATGAAATAATTTGATGAAAAAGAGTGTTATAATAATAATAAAAAATATAAGATAGGAGTTTTAAGAAAGATAAATCTACTTTTACCTTGTAAAGCAAATTAAAGAGCTTTAGATATAGCAGTTGAAAAATTAAAAGCATAAGGACACACAGTTATAGAATTTGAGATTGATTAAAGTATTTTTGAGAATGTTTTCTAACATGTTTATGATGTAATGTTGGGAGATGGAGGAATGAAAGGAACTTATGAATTATATAAAGGAGAACCATGGATTTCTCATTTTGATAATTTTAAGAAGGCTACTCATTCATGTTGGTTTTGGAAGAAGATCTATTAAAAATGGTTGAAATTTTAGGATCGCAAAAGAGAATTAATGATTTGGAAAGCAGGAGATCATGGATTATCATATTATGAAAATCTTCATATTACAACTAGATTAACAGCATATCAAATTTAAATGATTCAAATTTGGCATGATTTATAATTAGATGCAGTAATAAGTCCTGTTACTGCTGGAGTTGCTGTTAAACATAATACTGCATAAAATTGTTTTAGTGGAATAAGTTATACATTTATTTGGAATATGATTGATTTTAGTTGTGGATCAGTCCCCATTACAACAGTTTAAGAGGATGAATAATATTACAATGAACAATCATTATTTGGCAAAAAGGATATTGAATATAAGGTTTTGGAAGAAACTATGGAACACAGTGCTGGTTTACCTGTGGGCATTTAAGTTATTTCTAAACCATTAGAGGATGAAGTTTGTTTAAATATAATGAGATAATGTGGATAATGAGTATTTTATATATAAAAAAAAAAAATAAATCATTTATATTGTGTTAATAAATTAATAAATCCACCTCCAATTATAACAAATGGTATTGGAATACCTTTATATAGGCATAAACAACTGAGGATTCCTATGGCTATGGGAATTAAAAGACCCTTACTACATGAATTTATTATCAAATGCACTATTGCACTTAATATAAATCCAACTGCAACTGCTGCTATTCCTTATAATACTGCTCTTATAGTTCTTAATCCTCTATATTTCTTCCAATAAGGCAATATTCCAAATATTGTAAAGAATCCAGGAAGAAACATAAATATTTCTGCCAAAATAGCCATTGGAATACCTCCTATTAAGGCTCCTATATATATAGCAATATTGAACATAGGGCCAGGCATACAAGATACCAAAGCAAAAGCATTCCAAAACTGTTCAGTAGTCAAATAATTTGATAAAGAAAATTAAATCATAGGTAAAACTACATGACCTCCTCCAATAACTAGACTTCCAGTTTTGAATAAATTACTGCATACAGCAATAGGTGTCCAATCAATGTAAGATAAAAAGAAAAACAAAACAAATGAAATTCCGTATCCAACCAAAGATCTATATCCAAGTAACCAACTATCAAAAGTGTGTTACACTTATTCATCTTATGGAATTAACTGTTATTATCCAATATGGCGATCAGATATATAGTTAGAAATAGCTCCAATAACAATCATTAAAATTGCAATTGAAGGTGTAGGAAAAAATGTTGTTACTATTGCACTTGCAATCCACAAAAAAAAATGAAATTGATTTTTAATGGCTCCATTGGATAATTTATAAGCAGCCTCTATTATTACACCTATTGATGCATATTTAAAACCATCTATCAATAATTAAATCCATGGTATTGATAAATTGGGAACTGTTAGACCTAGTATCATCATTACAAAAGCAGATGGCATACTAAAATATAGAAATGCTACTAATCCTCCAAAACAACTATGTGTAAGATTAGCTCCCACTGCAATTACCATTTGAGTAGAAGTTGGACCAGGTAATGTTTAACACAATGCAAATAATTCTTAAAATTCCTCTTCAGTGGTATAATTTTTAAATCTTTCTCTTAGTACATTAATATGAGCTAAGGGTCCACCATAAGTAATAAATCCAAGGGGAAACATCACATCTCTTAATTACTTTAAATTCATTTATTTTGAAGTGCATGTATCCATAGGAATCATGATTTATAATTTATTATATTTATTCAATACATCCTTATTCTCTCTCACTGTAAGTACCATAGAAAAAGATAGATACAGATCCCTCTAACCATCAAAAAGATGAATTTAAGTTAAACTTTTTATCATTATATCATTTCTACATTTTATCTATATTGATACAACTTTCTAATTGTCTTTATTTTATAATGGTTGGATTGAATCCATATTTAAATAGTTATGTAAATAACTTTTCTCTATTACTATTGAACATAGATTATTTATCACATAAATCTATTCATCTACTAACAAGAATTGAACAAAGAAAGACATAAAATATAAGAGTATCTATACAGAAATAATAATTGGCAACATCTAAGCTTCTGAGAAGATTGCTCCAAAAATTCTAATCTACTCTCTTGTATAAATCAATTAAATAATCACTTTTCTAACAATGTTGCATTCTTCATGGATTCAATAATTGTAAAAATCAAATAATTATTTGGAATCCCAGAAACAAGACAAATTAATTTACTTATATCAATAACAATTCTTTCTAATTAAACTCATTATATAAATTTAGGTATTCAAATGGAATTCTGTTTTTTTAATACCAATAATTTATTTTTAATTCACTTCATAATATATATAGTGCTCAAATCACAAAAGCAAAAATCAAATAAACAAAATAATTAACTTCGATTTATTTTATAAATATAAATATACAAAAACCTTTTACTACACAAATATAATCAATTATATCATTTTTAAATCTAATTAAATTTATTGTTATCTTTAAAACATCTACAATATTTATAATATGCATACATTCCATTTGGATACTCCTTATATTTCTCATTTAAAGGGCTCTCTTCATAATTTTCATCAATTTGTTCTTGATATACAGATTCATCATGAGCTACGAATTCTATTGAAACCATTCTTTTTAAACCAGGACTTTTTTTATTAACCGTTGATGGCAAATACCTTAATCTCATTGAACTGTAAGTGCCCATAACAACAGAAATATTTGAACCACTAGAAAAATGATGAATATCACTTCTTTTTTTTATTTCTGGAGGCATTAAAAGATTTTTTTATGATTACGGTCTATTGTGAATAATAATATATTAAATACTTGGAATTGTCACAGACAGACCAAATAACTTAATTTGAAATTTTGGTTGTACTTTTCATTTACTATTTAGGAGATTAGAATTCTTTTTTATCCATAGAAACTTTAGATTCTGAAAGTTTTTTACTAAGTTTCATTCCTTCTGTCCAATCATAATATCCATCTAATTTAATATTATTGTTTTTAGCTGCCTCTACAAGAAGGTCTTTAATAAATTCATAATCTGGCTATTCATCAAATTTTAATTTTCTAATATATTGAAAAATTTTAATGAGTTCTGGACATTTAATAGATGTTAATTCCTTAATAGAAATAGTTTATTTCATTTCTCCAATAACTCTATTTCTTTCACTAGATTCAACTGGGATATTTTACCAAGGTAGATTACCTCTTAGAAAATAAAAGACAACATAAAATAAAGATTCTAAATCATCTTTTCTTCCTAATTCTTAACCTTTATGTGCAGCTATTGAAGCATATCTTAAAGTACCAATAAAATCTTTGTCTTAACGAAAGGGTCTTTGTAAGACTTTTTTACAAATAATATTTACATGTGATCTGCTTCAAAATAAATCTTGCTTACACCAAAATCTACAATGTATATTTAATTTAAATCGATTGACATCATAATATTATCAGGTTTCAAATCTCTATGTATGATAAATCTCTTATGTATATTTTTTAAAATATCTATGCAATCATAAGCAACTTACAAACAACATTTAAATGAAAACTTTTTATAAAGTTTTAAATAATAAGCTAGATCTTTACCTAATAGCTACATTGCCATTAATTAAGTTTGACCTTCAAAACCATACCATATCAGTTGTGGAATTCCTTCAACATTTTCTAATTAAATGAGCATTGTAATTTCTCTTTCCAAAGTTTTCTTCTCCTAATTCTCTTCTAATTCAACTTTCAACGCACATTCAGAATTTGTAGCTCGATCATAAACTTGATATACCATTCCAAAGGATCCTTATGATAATTTCTTCTTCATTATGAATCTATTTGCATAAATTTTAGAACTATTTTAACTCATAATTAGTAGTGATTATTAATTATATATATATGTTATCAAACTATAAAAAAGAAATGAAGAATTTAAAATAAGAATTGATTTTCTATAAATTTTCATCATATCAAAAAATCATTGGATATAATAAAATCAAAATTTTGAAAAATGAAAATTAATATTCTATGCTAATGCTTATAAAATAATATCTCATTATGGTTTGTTTGATGGAACTACCTATTATGGTTATTATGGTCTAGCACCAACTTAAGGATAACTTGGATAAACCTAAGATATATATAATAAATAAATAATACTGGTGCATAAGCTGGTCTAACACCTGAAAAAGTGAGTGCTGGAGCAACTACTGGTTAAGCATAGACTGGAGCTTAGGCTATAGGTCTAGCAACAGAATATGTGAGTGGTTGAACTGGTTGAACAAAAGATTAAACTACAGGTTAAACAGGTACAGTCTAGACTGGTTGATATTACTAAATATAAATATATTTATTTAAATTACCACTCTTTATACTTCTCTCTCAACAGCATCATATTCAACTCTAGGTACTGTTTTTGTGACTGGTACATATTCAGTTTATTATTCATAAACTGTTCTAGGTATATACTCAGTTTAATATTCAACTGGATAATAATCAGTCACATATTTAGTTTTTGGTACTTAAACTTAAATAGTTTCTGTTTCCATTTCAACAACAGGTCTTTGAAATTCTCTGTATTCAACTCTAGATTCTCCTTTAATTGGAGCTTATTATGGAGCAGCTACAACTGATTAGGTGAGAATTGGTTAAGCAACAACTGGTTATTGAACAACAGGTTAAGGCACATATTAAACTGGTTATGGAACATATTAGACTGGTTGAGCATAAGTCACAGGTTGAGCATAGCTTACTGGTTAAACAACACTCAATGGAGCTGGAATAGAACTTGTAAGAGGTGCTGTTGGATAGATAGGCATTCTGTTATATTCAATAAATAATATATTTAATATCAATTGAAAAATAAAATTTTATTTGAAATTTAATTTCTCACATCATTATCAATACATTTACACATATTTATGTTAAGAATAATTAATCTCTCTTTTAATTTAATTGATAGTTGTTTGGATCAATATTTTTATTATTAAATTAAAATTATGGCAGATGAATAAGCTGAATTCTTTAAGGAAGTCTTAAAGTTGATTTCTAACTTACACTATGAAAATAAAATCACAGAAGATTAGAAGTCAGAATTAAAAAAATTATTGATGGATGACGAAGATTTCGTTAACCAATTATAAGAAGAATATTAAGTTGAAGGACTTAAAGGAATAGTTAATATTATAATTGGTGACACAATATCAGATTGTAGTTTCAGAGATTTAATAGATTTCAATTAAGAAAAAAGAAAAAGATCCTAATCGTTAACTATTTAAACAGACTCTTCAGATTGAGTCAATTTCTGCTAATCTTAGCACTATTCAGACATTTTGATTTATGTATTATTTACATATGAATAAATGTCATTAATAAAAAGTAACTATTTATCAAGGAAATACTATTTCTAACTCTAATTACATTTAATAAAATTAAACCTAAAAATATTCTTATTATTAATTCAAATAATTGCTTATAAAATAGATTCCTAAATTTAGAATGATATTTTAATGTTAATCAACATTCATATTTATGAATTATGTTAATTTAAGAACAATACACAAAATAAAACTACCATTATAATTTATTAATCAAATAAATGAATTTTCACTTTCCTCTTTAATAATATTACTAGTATCGTTATTATTATTTTTTGTTTGATTTAATCTCTACTTTATAATCTATTTTTTCTAACCTTTACCATATAATATTTAATTAATTTCTGTGTTTAAGCTTTCATTTATTGATTGAGAATCATTAAGATAGTTTATTTATTATCTAGCAATAACTTCTAAATTTGGTTTCCTTAGTTACTCTTCAGAACTTTGTATTGTTCTAAAAGCAAATGTAGGACCACCCAATTTCTTTTAAATTGCTGGTTAATCCATACTAACTTATCTTGGATTCAATTTTGTTGGTCTAAATGAATATTATGCTTTGTAAATTAGACGATAAAAATTTTATTAAGTTTTAGGAAACTCAATTTTATTTTTTGATTCCATAATTGTTTTTCCTTTTACTAAACCTTAAAAAAACTAACCCTTTGGTGCTTTTTAATCTTCAGAATCGATTAAATTATTAATTTTTGATTTCAATGTTGGGAGTTAAAATCTTTATTCTTATTTAGAATGAATTCTTGGCATGCTTCTACTCTATAAATTATCTTAAAGTGTAGTAAGTGGACTACTTAGCTATCTCATCTGAATATTTTATTTAATTATAACATTAATAATTTTGTTTTTATAATATTTTTCTGATATAGCAAACAATGCATGAAAAGTAATTTAATATATAAATAAAATGCTTTTTTTACTTAAAATTCTAATTTATATTTAAATACTATAGATTTTATTTGACTTTGTTATTATATATATCATAATTTAGAATTCATATAAATCTGACTTTAGGGAGTTATAATTCTGAAAAATTCATTATTATATCTTTTAGATTTTTTAATTTATTAATCATTTGGAACTATTTTGATCAAAACTATGTTGAGTCAATTCAAAATTGTAATACTTTAATAATAAATGGATAAGGAAATATTAATTAACTACTATTTAAAATCTAATTTTATTATATTAAATTGTTATTTAAATATTCATTATCTTTTGAAATTTAATTCATTCATTCAAATGTTTAGTCTTAT